GTTACAAATTCGCAAAACTAATACAAAGAAACTAAGGTGGGTCTAGATATGCTAGATATTTATTTTATTAATAGGTCGAAATATGTTGCTTGTAAAAACTTCCTAAATGAACATATTTTGATTAAATTTATTGTTAGCGGCACTGAATTATGGAAATATGTAAACAGTGTAGAATGGCATTATTCCTGAATTTATTCCAAATCTCTTACATACATTGTATCCAAATACATGCTCTTTCTTCATATGGAACTTTATTTCGATAGGGGGCTTATCACTTATGTGGCCATTAACAAGATTATTAAATGTGTTCATTATTCTTTAAAATTTAATCTAAATTTAATTGTGTTAGATTTGGCGCAGGCATTTGAGCACCAAAACTTTGGTGGCAGGTGGGGTGGCCAGGAATGTGTTAGGGGGTGGGCTAAGCTGCCACGCCATGCCACCCCTCCTAGATCTGCCCCTAACCGATGTAATTGACAAGCATGAAGATCAGTGATAGTCTTAATACTCAAGTTAACGCGGCAATGTTTGTTCTTGGAGTTGTATCCAGCAGTAAAAGTCACATTTGTTTTTTTTGCAAAACCAAAACTCCAACACGTGTCAGTCAGTACTGTCTTCGCCCATCCATGATGCCAGGTTGTTGTGCTAAAATAAGCTAAATTTAGGCTCCCATTTAGACTATTTATAGATAGCATAAGACATAAGGAGGGTAATAGAATATTCTGAATCCGTATATTCCCTGCGAAGAAAGGACAAAATGTTAACTATTTCCTCTTTAATAAATCAGTGAGCGGAACAGGGATACGCTATGCCACCAGTCCTGACACGTGTTCCCTTACAAGCCCTGAATGGACAAACCGGAAACATTATGGCCCCTTTTGGCACTTTTGAAGCTGGGACAAGGGTACGAATAAACTCTGGGCCAATCAGAGGTCGCAGAGCTTTCAGTTGCCGGGCTCCTGATAGACCAGGGCAGACTTCAATTTCCAGCTAAATTTTACAGTCGCCGTTTTTAAAGACTCGGCACTATATTTAAAAGAATCATTAAGACCCTGTACTTGTATAGCGCCTTTCTATCTTCCCGACCACTCAAAGCGGGCTTTACACTAAGCGTGGACCACATTCACTCCGCCTTTCACACACATTCACTGCGCCTCCATTGATGCACCAAGTCCATTGCAACTGAACAGAAACTCACTCATTCATACACATTCACACACCGATGCTATGCATTGGGAGCAATTTGCAACTTATGACAACTGGATTCTCTACAGTAAAAAGCAGATGTGTATAGGAGTGAGTGTTGAGGCTAACCTTCCATGTCCCCAGACCCAAAACTGGCATTCGTGTGCCATCGTTCAGCTCTATGGTCCTGGCCACCTGTGTGTCCTCCGTGAAGTACATTTAACCACTGCAACAGAAAACCAAAATGAGAACCTCAGCACGCTCTAGTACACTATCAGAGCGTTTCTCTTCCTCTTTTTCCCCTTGAACTGCCACTGCTGAGTCAACGTCCTTTTTCTGTTTTTCTGCTGAGTTCACTTCTCTGTCTCATGTGTTCCTGTCCTTCTCTCTCTCCTTTCTTCACCTCTCGCTATGTCTTTGGCTTTCCTCTTCCTGGCTTATCAGTGCAGTGGTTAATTATTGGACAACACACAAAGTACTTTACCACCACCAAGTATTTATGTGTACACTCAGTTAGTGAGGAGGAGCATGTTGCAAAGGTCACTCTTCTCATAGGGGTAGCAGTGTGTGTGCGCACACACACACACACACAGTAAGGGTCACATTGTGAGAAAAGTCTGCTGTAATATTACCAGTTCAGCATTAGATGGTGTTATTGTATCGTGGTACTGTGCAGCTACAGTACAAATGCTGTAGGTTTGTAGGAAAAAATTTTTAATTTACTGAGTCCTTGCTGCAGCGGCTCAGGGTTCGAATCTGACCTGCGGCCCTTTGCTGCGTGTCATCCCCCTCTGCCCCCCTTTCCTGTCTATCTTCAGCTGTCACTATCAAGTAAAGGCAATTAAAATTCAATTGATATCTCGAGATTTATTTATTTTCCTAAATCAGATTTTTTTTTTATAAGTATTCATATCAGGAACTGTATTTCATTATGGGAACAGTTATGATGGATGTGCATCAGTTTAATGATGTGGTCATTTGTATCAAACTTTATCAATAAATCAGAGTTTTTTTATACAATTCTCTGCCTGTATGTGTGTGTGTGTGTGTGTGTGTGTGTGTGTATATATATCTTTTAAACAACTATACATATTTAATAGGATTCTTTTTTGGGAAATACTCTTTGGTTGTTGTTGTTGTAGTTTCTAAAGCAGGACCAGGCTGTTTATCAGAAAGTGAAGGATCTCTAAACACAACTTGGGTTCAGATCTTCAGAGTTTGCTGCGACATAGTCCTACTTTGTATATTTTTAAACTTTTCTTACACCCCATAAAATCCAGAAGGCCTTCAACCACCAGTGGAGCTTCGGTGACTCTTAGTGGGGAGTCTACATTCATCAATGGAAGTTGTGCAGTAGTATTGAGAATATTTTCCTATGAGTTTACACAAGTTTAAATCAAAATCAAAAAATTGCTGACCTAGTGTTTGCTTTCCATTTTTTCTGTACAAATATTCAAGACTGGATTACCAACGGGCAAAGCAGGAAACGTCCTCGGGGCCCAAAAGATTAAAAATTAATTGTGTGATTTGTGGTTATATGATTATTGAAAATATCTTTGGACGTATGCAATACTAAACATTAAACTTAAATGATCAGGGCCTTAAAGGTGCAGTGTGTAGCATTTAGAAGGATCTATAGTCCGCCATGTTGAACTGCCATGTTTCTACAGTAGCCCAGAATAGACAAACCAAACAAACCCAAAACCATTTCTGGTAAAACATTCTGATGCACTGTGAGCTAAATTTTTGAAGAGAAAAAACAGAGTAAGTGAGTGACAGTTCGAAGCATCAGAACATTTCTTTCTTCACTGGGCAGACATACCTATAAATATTATATTTCATTCTATCTGCCAATAGATCCTCCTAAATGTTACACTGGACTTTAATATAAAGTGTTACCAATTGTGATTTCTAATATCAATCAACACCAGTCATGTCAACAGGTTATTTATGTTTTATTAGGTAACTATTAACAAAACTACAAAATAAAATTTTGTGTCTGTAAAAATAAAAAATACAAATGTATATATATGTGTGTGATTCAATACGACACACAATTGACATACAAACAATCCAGAGAATGTTTTGATAAAGAGCATGCCAATGCAGCCTAACAGTGCACTGAGAGTTCTAGCACAAGCAAAGTATACAGAGGATTATCAATATCATATATCAATACATATTCAAATATGTATTCACTTTCCCTAATTATGACAGCAAATATGCCAGCTGGTGTATACAGTATGCACAGTTTATGATCCTGCAGTCGATATCAAAGAAGTTACATAACATTGACATACAAAGCGTTAAACAAATTATATAAATACACAAAAACAAGTAGAGGTTAATATAAGTTGCCTGTATAAAATATAAATATTAGGTCTGCTTATTTCATACGGTTAACATCAAAAATTACACCATCAACGGACCATCAGATATATTGCTTCCAAGCTTTTTGTTGCCATGGTGATGACAATGTTAATACAGTTTTGACATCAGATTTCTGCATCTCTAACTTAATAACATGGTGGAATAAAACCTATATGCGACCAGAGGACAGCTCTCCCGTTCTCTAGGCCACAAGGTCCATGCAGTCAGACTGGTCCAGCTCTGCCGCATCACTGGTCCAGATCATTGCTGTCGCGGCTGCAGGGCCGATAGTGGCGCTGGCAGAACTCCCTGATCCGACTGCAAGCCTCCAGCATCATCTCCTCCGGCACCGTCACCACAATGCGAAAGAAGTTAGGATACTCAAATGCCTGAAAGAGGACAGAACATGTATACACTTAGGTATTTAAACTGATTACTCATGTTTTTTTATATTCTAAGTTGAAGTGTGTAGACAGATGTAGGGACAAATAGATGGATGAGCAGTGACAAAAAAAGGGATGGTGTCTTACTGAAGCAGGCAGACAGAAGACAGACTGCTCGGTCACAAGCCGTTCAGTGAAGTCCACATCATTCTTAAAATCTGGAAAGTGCTCCAGGTCAATCCCCACCTGGACAAATGTGCACACACAATTCCCTCTTATAAGAAACTCAATTTCATATACAACCCACCATTAATTTAAAGCTGCAGTAGGTAATTCTTTTATAAAAATAACTTTTATTTAATATTCACTGAAACGTTCAATATATCCTGACAGTAGTACATGAGACACATAATCAGTGAAAAAAATCAGGTTCCTCTGGCTCCTCTTAGTGCTCCTAATGGCATTTGCGTGAATCCTCCGGGCCTGAATGAAAACGATCATTTAGAGCCGAGAAAGATTGATTGTTGAATCTCATTCCCAGTGTCCCAAAATGTCTGTATTTGATGTCCTGGGAATGACACTCAAGAAATTATCTTTCTTCGCTCTGATTGGTTGTTTTTACTGTACAATACTGCAGCCTTAATAAAATACTGTAGAATTATAGAGGATAACATTTATATTCACATGCATAGGTAGGTGAGATGAGAATCTGAATGTGGAATATTTATGGTGTAAAATGTTACTTTGTCCATTAAGTTTGGCTCATTTAGTGAACTTTAAGTTACCTTTTTGCTAAACTACTGTAACTTTATTAACACATCAGCTTTTTATATCTTTTGTCATTTATATGATAAATTGGAGGCAGCCACTTCTTGAGGTTTTTGTCCAACAAAATAAATACATATACATATATTCATAAACAACTACACTACCATAAATGGTTATTTAATGTGTGCTAACACATATGTTAAAGGGTCACTCCAACCAGCAATTTAGTATTGCAAATCTGGGGAAAGAAACAAGAAATGACAAAACTAATGGTTAAAATCAAGCTAACAGAGGATGAGATATCCTGCCTTTTAGTATCAAGTATGGGTCAAACCTAAAAAACACTGGATACATTTCCCATAATACAACTCAATAGCATATTTCATTAGAGCCTTTCCACCTAGTAAATGCCCATGTCTTTCAAACTCCATGCATCCAGTTTGTGACACAGGTTTTCTGGAGAACAAGAAAACTGAACTCCCCCCTTTATCTACAAAGTCAGCATGACGCAAAAACTATTTGTTAGTGTGTCCATGTTCAACATAAAACCACCTGGTACTGACCATAAGGTACATGGCTCCTGCAGGCATGATGGGGTTCAGGCCGGGGATGGTGGACAGCTCATTGAAACAAATCTCTGAGTTGGACTATAGAAGAAAAAGATCAACCATCCAATCAGTCTCACAGACACAAAATGACATAGAACACATGAAATAGTTGTCCCATAAGTTTAAAGGATTATGAGTCGAATCTTTATGGTTCCAGTACAGGGCCTAAACATACTGATTGATATAAATCTTATATTGTGCTTTTAATCTTACAATCTGACAATACGATACTTATCACGATACAGGGGTTACGATTCAATATTAGGATTGGGTTCCTATACAACCAATATCTACCGAATTGAATCACAACACAGATGGTGCCTCATTTTATTATAGTTGGATGAGGTTTTATTTTTTATGTGAATTTGGTGTGTAAATTTGTGTTAGAATTGTTTAAGTATACTTTCAAGTGCCTTAGCAATTAAAAAAATGTAAAATTAAATTAAATTAAAAAAAACAAAAAGCCTGTTCTTTAATGCCAACAACCGTCATTTTGTGCTTCTTTTTAGGCACTTTTTACGATACCCAACCCTATTCAATATATTGCAATTAACTTAAAATCTAAATTTAGGAAGAATTTTCATAGTATAAAGTTATGCAACCCCCAGTTGCTGCACTGAGCGGTTGGGGGTTTAAATATCACAAAATAAAATATTGAGATACTCAATTGTATTTATATTTTCTTACAGCCATAGTCTTATATAAGTTTCAGAATAAACATTAGCATATTTTAACCAGGATATTTGTATTTATCATTTATATCATTTGAATAACCACATTATGCAAAGCAACATGTTGCAGCACTGGTTTCTGCTGAGCACAAATAACACTGTCCAGGTAAGGGCCAGAGGGCCAGCTTATGTGTCTAGGGTATCAATGAAACAGTCTTGTGATCAAGTATTAGTCCCAGTTAAATAAAGAAGATATGTTGTATGTAGAAATATTTTATTTGTTCCTGATCCATCCTCCCTCTGTTTACCTTGAGAAAGCTGATGGTCTTGTTGTAGAAGCTTTGAGGTGTGTTGTTGAGGATGCTCTCCAGGGCACCCTGGACAATGCTGCAGGCTCCCAGAATACGCTGGCTCAGTTTCACCAGACCCTGTCGGATCTTCAGAGGAGACATACCACATTTGACAGTTGGTTAAATGCAACAGCGATCTATTGGAGTCTTTCTATTGTCTCTGTGTTCAGGGGAGACACTACAGGGGAATAGGGTAAAACAATTCACAAATAGATATCACCAGGAAACGTCTCTAGTTGATTACGTACTTTAAGACTATTCGTTTTTGTATTACAAGTTTCCTG